ATACCTGGCTCATTTCCTGGACTGAAACTCAAAATAGTATCTGATCTGTTGTTGCTAACACACTGAGTCATGATTTCTTCTGGAGGTTGAGAATAGCTGGAGCCTGGGATTTCAAAATGTTCCTGTTCGGTCTTCTGTGGGCATATGCAGCTGCTGCCAGACCATTCCCCTGGTCTCTGAACTGATAGCCTGCCTTTCGAAGCGTGCTTACCTTCAGAATTTATAGTACTGTAAAATCAGTAATAGTTAATTATCCACCGAGTAAATTAAGCTGCTCTACTTAAATAATTCTTTAGTAGGAAAAAGTTTGTGGACAGCCTTCAACAATGCGTTTTTATGTTAATAAACTGAAATATCTGAAGTTCCAAGTAATTAACCTATGGTGCTGTTATCCTGTTTTTCATGTTCTTTTTAGACTCCCAATTTGTTGTCATTCTGTGTTCTGTGTTTCTTATAAGTTGTAATGGTTAATTTTTTTATTCCCTTGAAAAACTTCATTTCTCAAATTTTATATTTTTTTTCTAGGTTTACAAATAACCTATAAAAATAGTATTAAAATACTTTTTATTAGTTTCTCAAAGCATGAACATTAGGAAAGTGTGATATGGTACTGCCTGACTTCAGAATCCTGAAGCCAGAGCTGGAGCGCCTTGGTTCTAGCCCCTCCTTCCCCCATGTCTAAGGCCAACATCTCTGGACATTGTTGACCCCTCCCATTGCACCAGACTGGGCCTGAAACCCCAGTCATTGTGTCCTGCTAACATATCCAGCTTGTCTCTTGTACCAGTCCTTACCTTGTAGGGTTGGGAGGCTGTGCTCACTAAGCAGCTTCATGCCAGCCTCTGTCTGCTAGTGTGGGAGCTAGGGTCTGGTATGTCTGCCCCAGTCTGGGCTCACAGCCAGCACCACCCACCTAGTTTCAGTGCCTTCTTATACATTTTCTCATTTTAGGTTTTTTTTTTATGCTTTTGAAGAGATAATGTATTTTCTAACTTTGTGTTGGCTTGGTGTAGGTGTAATATTTAAATGTAAAGTTTATTTGAGAATATTAATGAAAAAAACTGTAGCGTAAAGCCTCGTTTGCTCTTGGAAACAGCAGTTCCCTCTGCCAGTGTTTAGAACTCTGGATGCCCTGGAGTCCTGCTCTTCTGTTTCCTTGGAGCCTCAGACAACTTATTTCTTTGTGCCATCTGCTTGTCAGTATCGTCACATTTAAGAGTAGTTTCTCTTTCCACACATATTATATCAGTTTGCCTTCATTTTAGGGGAGAAATGTAAGGAATCTGAGATTGCACCTGCTTACTGTGATTTGGAATTACCTGTCACTGGTACCTCAGTTTTAGCCTGAGCAATAGAAATACCTTAGGCTTGAGTTTGGTTTTAGAGGATGTTTAAACTCATTTTTGTTATTTTTCTTTCTAAGAATTTATTTATTTATTTATTATTTATTTATTTATTTGTGTGTGACTGTGTGTCAGTCTGCATGGCAGACGTCAGACAGAGGTCAGTGTTGGGGGTCTTCATGAATTCTCTCCACCTTATGTTTGGAGCAGTCTCTCTCTGAACCTGGAGCTCACTAATTCAGCAAGACTGGCCTGGCCAGTGAGCTCCAGAGACCTTCTTGTCTCAGCCTTCTTCCGCTGTGATTATAGGCATGTGCTGTCAAGCCAAACTTTTTTTTTTTTTTTTTTTTTTGGTCTTTTTGAGACAGGGTCTCCCTGTAGCCCCAGCTGTCCTGGAACTCACTATGTAGACCAGGCTGGCCTTGAACTCACAGAGATCCACCTGCCTCTGCCTCTCAAGTGCTGGACTACAGACGTGTGCCACCACGCCTGGCCCTTGCCAAACTTTTTATATGAATGCTGGGGATCCAGACTTTCATCCCTTGACCCACTGGGCATCTCCCCTATTTATTTTTCTTTTGAAAAATCAGCTTAAGATACAGAAAAAACAAAGTTAGTTTTTGTTATTGTTCTCGTATACCCAAGGTAACACAGAGCATTCTGTGACCAGATATATGAAGTTTTCCCCCTCAGGTGCAAGTAAGCTCTTCTGCAGTATACTTTCCAGTGGTTTCCAGGTGTTATTTAAATTCTGACACTGTCTGAAGATGACACCAGCTGCCACAGGACTGTCCCCACCTAGGATGCTAGTCACAAGCAGTGGTTGGCACCCACTTTTGAGTGACTAATTGTAAGTTGGCACCTCCATGAGTTGGTCTTCTTGTTTGTAGACACACAGCTAATACCCTGGATCTGGAGTAATGCGTGTTCTTATGGCTGATTTCAGCCATACCCTGCTCAGCTTCAGGATGGGATGGGTCACAGAAAAGAAGAAGCTTGCAAATGAACAGCCAGGGGAAGAGAGCCATAGGGTAAGGTTGGGAGAAGGCTGCAGGCTTCTGTGGTCCTTCTCTGTGGCTTCCCTTCCTAAGCCTCTTGTTCAGGTATTCGAAAGTCCCTCTCAGCCCTCTCCTTTGACATTTTTATTGAGACTTCTTTTATTGAGGCAGAATTGATTACTGGCCATGGTGATCAACTCCACCTTCAATCCTTCTCCTGTTAGAAAATTTGGTGTTATGGAGCCAAAAGTCTCAATCCTGTCTGGTCATCATAGCTTGGTCTGAGCAGCCCCATCCTGAAGCCAGCAGTGGCTGACTGACAGCAGCCAAATCATTAGCACACATAAGACTTTACTCCATATCCCAAGGGATTCAGTGATGTGTGTCTAGAAACAGAGGAGACCATATCCATTTGACAGTATTTAAAATGAAAGAGATCACCACAACAATACTGAAGAAAACTTGAAAGTAGGTCAGATTCTAGGTTTATGGTAGTGGAGGTGAAGGAGCTGTGAGTGCAAAGCCTTGAAATTTTATACCAGATGGGTATTGACAGTACAGTAGTGGATGAGTTGGAGAAGAGGGCGCGAGTACCCTGAACATAAGAAGGGTATTGGAACAGTGCCTTGGCCAACTAGCAAGACATCCACGTGAGCGGAAACTTGGCCATATACTGAGTCTGTAGTGGGAGGGACTATTGGATTGGAGTGGGAACCCAGAGTGCCTGTCTGAGGCTGGAGGGAAGATTGAATCAGTGAGCGTACCCCTCATCTTCTGCTGGAAGCTTACCCTGTTTTTATCTTAAGAGTGGAATAAAAATGCGTGATTTTAAATCCGGGAACAACATGACTGTGTCTGTGTTGTAGGAAGACTGCCCTGAAGAAATGTGGATGGTACACTGAAGGGGGCAAGTTGTAGACAGGAGATTAAGACAGGGCTTCCTGCCACTGAGAGTGATGGGCCCAGAACTCCTGCTGCAGAGATGGGAAGAGGTCTGAGAGGTTTGTAAGTTGTTGAACTAAGACAGCTGGACATAGGAATTTGAAAAGGATCTCTAAGCATGACTTCGGGCACTATCCTGAGTGGTGAACGGAAGGATTACTAGAAATAGAAGGATGGAGGAGGTGTTGGTTTGGACATGACAAAGCATTACAGTAGAGAGGTGCAGCAAGCACTGGGCTGTGTGACACAATGTAGAAGTTTGGGTGTGAGGTAGAAATGGAAGTGTAATTGTTGTTACAGGTGGTAGAAGTGTGTGTGGGAATGAGACCTTGAGGAGAGGGCTTATATTGAGAAGACTAAGAAATAGCCAGAGGTGGAGGAAAGGGAAGGTTAAGAGACCCTCCTAGTTTGCAAAAGTGGCAGTGCCCCGGGATTAATGTTGCTCAGCATCCAGGCAGTGTGTGCAGGTGGTGTACTGACTGGCATTATGATGTTACTGTAACTGGGGCAGCAACAGTCTTGGTGTATAGGGGGTGAATGGCTGTGGGTTGTAGGGACTTAATTCTAGATTGCAAGGGGATACCAGCTACAGGGTTGTAGCAGGGCAGGGGAACTATTATAGGTAACTCCATCCAAACTCCTTTTATATACGTATATGTAACTCATATGTGGTTGTTAGATTTGAAACTTAAGCCATGAGTGTTAAAATTGGAGTACCCATCAATCTTAGGAAACTAGTAAGGGGTCATGTGGGAGATTTCAAGGGGAAAGGATAGAACACAGAGTATGAAGGGGGAAGGGTAATAATAGAACAGGAGTGGTTAAATGTGGTGGGGGTTGGAAGGGCAGGGTAGAGTAGTGGAGGGAGTGTGGGGAGGGATAACTGACACTGAAGGCCTTAGGAAAAGTCAGTGGAAACTACTATTGTAGAAGCTTCCTAAAATATTCTCCTGTAGGTTCAGGAAACTCTGGTTGAAGGTTCTATGAATGCTGTCCCTTCTCAGAGCTGTCTCTGGTCAGGAGAGTACTGTGGGTAGAGCCTTACTACTGCTCACTTGAGGAGTGGGCCAGTTGTGCTCTGTGTGCATGTGTGAACAGGTGTTATTTCTCTGAATAAAACTGTGTTCTAGGCACCAGTAGCCCACAAAGAGTCATGAGTTTCAAAATGATACGTAAGTTATCCTGACTTGAATTTGTATGAACCAAGTACTTTTTAAAAACTTTACGTTATTAGATTATGAAGTTGTAGAATTCAATTAAAAAAAAATCCTCAGGGGCTAGAGAGAGGGCTCAGAGAGGGCACTGACTGCTCTTGCAGAGGACCCGGGTTCAATTCCCCAGCACCCACATGGCAGCTACAAGCTGTCCTTAACTCCAGTTCCAGGGGAATCCTACAGACCTCTTCTGACCTCCGCGGCACTGCACGACACGGGTGCACTCACATACATGCAGGCAATACACTCATACACATTAAAAAAAAAAAAAATCCTCAAAGTAGTTCAGGAAGATGGGAATGCTCAAAGGTATTGCCCACTCATAGGGGTGGACCATCTGTATGCCACAGAAAAAATTTGAGGAATGTTGGGAATGCTGTGTTTTATTAAAGACAAGAAGGTATAAAGTTTCCATGTGACATCCCACTTTAAAACATGCTCTGAAATGAATTGGGTGGTGAGGTGATGCTTTAAGTGAAGGAAGTTAACTTTCTCTGTTTCAGCGAATCTTCCAGTGCCAACGATCGCAGCAATAGACGGACTTGCTCTGGGTGGTGGTCTGGAGCTGGCGTTAGCGTGCGATATACGAGTAGCAGGTGAGAATCCTCTAAGAACATCAATTTAAAGTGGGAGCTGGGTTAAAGAATTACATCATGCTGTTTGCATGAAAACAGATAGTTGGAGATTGCCATGTTTATTGAAATAAACCAGATCCAGAAAGACAAATAGCACATTTTCTCCCTTATGTAGAATCTAGATTACTAGATTACTAAACAAAACGACATGAAAAGGAGACTTTGGGAAGAGGAAGGGAACCACTATATGGGGGAGAGGGGATATTGTCAGAGTCCTTATAGACATGTATGACAGTCTCATAATGAAATCCATTATTTTGTACAATGAATATGTACTAATAAAACCTGGGACTGGGAGGATAGGTTAGTATTGTAGTGTCTGCAAGGCCCTGGGTTTCATTTCTAGTGCCAAAGAATGGTGGCGTTCTCCAGAGAAGGGTGTTTACTTCTCAGGTAATTCCATGTTGTGTTTCCTGTTGAGTGGAACGTTTTTAAAAGCTCATCTATTGAGTCTAGCATTTGAAATTCCCACTTAAGATAGCTGTGTTTTGTCTCTTGTTCAGTCTTAGCAGTGGGAAAAAGACACCTGGATTTGGGTCAGACATCAGAGCTGGGAGTTGGGGTTGCCCTTTTTAGACTAATTTCCTTCTATTTAAAATTAGGGTAGTGTGGCTGAAGAGGTAGCTCAGTGGTTAAGTGCACGGGCTACTTTCCCAGAGGACATGGGTTTGGTTCCCAACACCCACATGGCTTCTCACTACATTTTGTAACTCCAGTTCCAGGGTCTCCAATGTCCTCTCCTGGACTCTGCAGGCACCGAGTATGAATGCATTACACATGCATGCAGGCACTCACATATACACATAAATAAATAAATCTTAAGAAAAATAAGTAAAATAGGGGTGGTGACCATAGCTCTGTGGAACTAACCTGTGGAGTTGTCAGGGACTTGCTTGACCAGCACTTACCAACTTTGATCCAGTAATGACAACTTCATCCTCTTGAAGTTTGCTCTCTTCCTGGGTGGTTTTCTGACTGTGTGTGAGGTAGGTGTGAAAACAGTTGGTGCTGACCACTTGCTGGGTGCTGACCAGGGGCCTGTGGCACTTGATATGCTGTCACTCTCTCTCCTGCCTGGCACCTCATGAGATTCAGCCAGAGCAGGGGGGGT